TCTCATTTTAGGGCCGACATGAAGGCTGGGAGATGTAGGTGGAAGGAGACCCATATTTTTTATACAGTATTGCCTAATTGTAATCACATTCATTGAAACGTTGATATTTGGAACCATGAAAAAAAAAGCAGGATTTTAAGAACACGGGTTATTGAAACTCATGTTTTTCTCCAAGTAATTTACGAGCCTTTGTACCAAATTAAAGTCCTCTTACAGCGACCTAGTGCAGGTTCCAAGAGCCCTCCAGGCAGTCATTTGAAGGCTCTAAAGCAGCCCTCTCCGTCTCCACCCCCACTCATATCCTCTTCTCCTCTAGCTCAGGGTTTTAAGATTGTTCCTATGCCTTGGGCCAAATATAAGCGGTTCAACACATTTCTGCAGTTAGGCAGGACCCTAAGTAAATCCCCAGGAATAAACAAGAGCAAGTCACAAGTTGCTGGGCGGAGGGGGGGCGGGGGTGGCGGAGAGGAGGAGGAGGGGCGGTAATGAACTTTGCTGCTGCAGGCGGGCCTGTCACTCTAGCTGACAGCAAGCACCTTCACCTTCAAGTTTCTTACCAAGGCAGCATCCCCTGAAAGAAAGTGCATAGCTCGGAGGCAGGGCACGCTAGCTGAAAAAGAAAAGGGAAGCGTTGCGGAGTCTCCCTGCGAAGCCCCTGCCCTCGAGGCCGCATTTCCAGGCCTGCGGCCGGGCAAGCGCTCGGACTGTGGCCTGAGAGGGGAGCACGCTACCTGGCGTCCGGCTCCTCCTCCGACTCCGCGGCCGTTTCGTCCTCCTCGCTCTCCGATTCCTCGTCGCTCTCCAGCCTTCGGGTGGCCTCCTCGTCCCCGTCGGAGCCGAGGGGACTCTCCGCGGCGTAGGTGCTGTCGCTGCTCGCCATCGTGCCTCTGCCGGGCCGGAGCCGGAGCTGGAGCCGGAGCCGCCCGCGCGCGCCCGGTGTTCTCCCTCTGACTGCGCCTCTGGCCCCGACCCGGCCAGGCTCTGCCCTGCCCCGGCGGGCGGCTCGGGTTCCCGGCCCCGGGGGCGGGCTAGCCCCGAGGCTTTAAATAGAAGGCGTCAAAGTTTCGCCACCGAGCTTCTGGGGCCCGGGCTCAGCGAGTTCTCTTCCCCTGCGTCTGCCAACTTCCCCCTCCCCGACCCTCCCCGCTCCAGTTTAGGCAGATCCCTGGCGGCCCTTTGGGCAACTCTTGATCACCCTTCCGAAGGGGGGTTAGATTCCAGCTGCACCAGGGGCTTGAAAGGAGGAAAGGCACCCAACCCCGCCTCTCTTCCCTCCAGTGTGGCTTTGGTGTGCTGTATGCTTGGTGCCCAACTACTTGATGGACCCTTCATCCCAACCAAGTAACTACTCCTTACTAAGCATAGCGCTTACTAGTTCAGGCACTCTGCTAAGGGTCTCATTTCCATTACCCCCTCACAATTCTGCTGTGGTACTTTTAACTGCAATGCTGGTTTTTTAGATCAGAAAACTGAGGCTCAGAAGAGCTTGGGAAGCTGGCTGGCTCAAGGTCTCCTGCCTAGTATGTGATCCTATGGGAAACAAAGCTAGGTCTGCCATCTTCAAGGGCCCAGTTTTCAACCATTGTTCCTTCATATTGCCTCCTTTTGTGTTTGCAAATCAAATAATTGTGTATTCTCATCCTTGGTGACCTGTAGACTGTTTAAGTCAGGGCATTTTTCTCTCTCCTAAAAACCTTCAAGAGAAATAATTTTCCTCACATTGGCCAAAGTCTAAGTTCTGTCTGAAACTCAACCCAAAGGCCCCAGACTTGCGTTGGATCATAGCGTGCTTACGCTTAAAACCACTCTAATGGCTTCCCCATGCTCAAGGACTAAAGCCCAAGCTCCTTAGGGAAGATGAACACTGGATAACAACAGCCCACATCTCGTTTCTTCTTTAGAAGTCAGGATTCCCAACATTTATCAAGTCACACCACTGTGCCTTTACTTACAGTTCCTTCTGCCTGAAAGGTTTTCCCAACCTTTATTTACCTGGTGACTGACTCTCCATTCAAGATCACCACCTTTCTCTGAAATGCCCAGGTTAAGTTCAATACCCCTTTCGGGTTCCATTATCCTATATTCAAATTATGTTTGTGTCTCTTTGCCTCAGTACACTCTATAAATTTGTTACTCATCTTTTTCCACACCATCCCCATCTCTTACAAGGCCAGAGCAAGCAAAGTACTTAGCACAGAGTAGACACTTAATGAATGTTGCCTGAAGAAAACAGGACCAGACCTGCCCAGTACATACAACAGATAGAGATATCTTTATATAACGGTCTTCTTTTCATGAGGATGATTTTATGGCTAGAATAGCTAACATTTATTTTTAATTACAGCAAATTCTATTCACAGAGTTGCTAAATATGATGAACATAAGTTAGGTAATATTCACCAGTTACACTAGCTTGTATGTGTGTATTAAGTCTGTGAGCAAAGAATTGCAGATAATTCAGATACAGTACAGAAGTATCAGCTGGTGTGTATGGGAAGGGAAGACAGAGGAGTCCAGTCTTCCAGGGTTCATTAAACCAGGTTCAGCAAGTTATTATCTTAACATGAGCTAGATTTATCCAACTAGTAATCCCAAATGACTGACTCCTCACCTAGGACAAAAAGAATGCAATCATAGCTGTGGGAATCTGTTAAACTCACCAAAACTACAGGTAGCTGCTGTATATTCCTTCCATCTAACTCAAAATTTCTTGGGAACACTAATTAAAGTCAAGATTTATTTGCAAAGATCCTAGTTCAAACCAATCCAAAATGTAGAACTGCAGTACCGATTACACATTTTTAACTTTGTAACACTATCTTCTTAATAATGCATGCAAATGAAATGGCCAGATCAATACAAATAGAACATAAAAGAATGTATTATTCACCACACAAAAATTCAAAAATTCAAACTAAAAATAAAAGTCTAAAAAATTCCCTCAATATACAGCTCACTTATCTGACACATCTATCACAAGGTACATAATCTTAGGCTTCAGTCTATTGATTTGGAAATGGGTATAAATTTATTAACAAATAACTTCTTTATCTATGTGTTACAGCAAGATAGCTAAAAAGTAGCAGCAGCAAAATGAGGGGGTGGGGGAGTACGTGGCACTGAGCGCTGAGAAAACAGTGGCAATAAAAGAGTCCATACCATGGTAAATGAATGCTAGGGCTTTCTTAGGAAATGTCCCAATACTGTCGAGGCAGAACACCCTTCGCACTTAAACATCCCTGAGAGCTACACAGTACTACCATGGAGTACTAGGACTGTTTTTTATTGTTTTTAATGATTATCAGAGTCATCACTAGAATATTAATTATACTCAGTACATTCTGATAAAGCAGTTGCACAGTGTGTATTTTAGGAAAACTACCAAGAAAAAGAACTGATGTATAAAGCTCCATTGCCTCAAAAGTGCTGAACATGAGTAATCTAAAAAATTCACCTATGTGGAAAGCTTCATTCCTAATAAAGCCAGAGAAATACAGTGTTGATGTGGTTAGCTGGCTTAACCAAGAATGAACTCAATTCCGAGATTCTCTGTATAATCTATATTATCAAGCATAAAAGTTAGCTTCAGTTCAGTTCTAGATGAGAACTACAGCCTCAATCTCATCGCAAAAGACTAGCACAGAGACAAAACAAAACAAAACACACCAACAATTTCCATATATAAACTTTATTCCATTTGACATCATACAAAAATTTAAACTTAAAGAAGAAAAGGAAAATATGCACCTTTACAAGTCAAAGAAAAGCAAAAGTCTTAGCATTTGAATTGGTCTGCAAAAAACCCAAATACATTAAAGGTACAAACTGTGCTACAGCAGGCCTAAAAGAAGTTGTACACAGTCTTTCTGAAAAAGTTAAAATTGTTTTCAAGATTACTTTTCATATTTAAATGTACAGGCACTGACCAATTTACAAATATTTACATAAACCAAAAACAACCTTAATAAAACACTGTAGCCTTTTTTTAAGCAGCTACCACTACTTCTTCATATGGAAAAAAAATACTAAAAAAGTTATCTTTACAAACATTAAGTTTTTATTTATAATAATTTTATGTCTTACCTAAAACATTTTATAGTGGCTTACTGCCTAAAAATTCCAGTTTAGATTACAATCCTGTAACTGTATACAGAAGAAATCTGATACCATCAATAGGATATAATCTCAACTTTGATCTTTCCCCAGTCTGATGCTTCACGTCACAGGGAAAATAAAAGCAAGAAAACATGAAATAAAGTAAAAGTGCACAATGCACTAAACTATCATAAAGCACAGGGGACTTACAATCTTTTCAAAATGTCTACAATGAACTAATTCTTTAAAACAATTTACTAACTGCTGAAAAATACAGTTAGTGCTCATATTACTACAGTGCAAAATGTACTGTTTTCAACAAAAAATTTAAAGCAATCTCAAGAGTACATCAAAAGCATGTGAGGTACTAATGAAATGCTAATAGAGACACACCCAAAGCCTCAGTCTATCCTGGTGAGTCAAGTGAAGACTTAAGGCAATTGTCCAGTATTTCAAGCCTCTGCAGTGATTTCAGTGAAATAACAGATTTCATTTTGCTTCAAGTAACTGAATAACTGGCTTGAATCTTCACTTTACTAGAATAGAGAGACAACAAACTATCTACTGTACGTTATACGTTAAGTATGTATGAATCAATCCCTTTCCAAAATTCCACACATATCTTTAGTATTAGCATGTGGTATAATTAATTGAAGTTATATCAAAAACCTTTTATTTGTTCAGATAATTCCCCAAAAAATATTTTATCTGATCTGAAAGTTCATGCCATAATATTACTAATCAATGTAAACATTTTCAAAAATACATCTTTAAATCAAAGGGTTTTATTAGGAAATGTCATAATAAAATATGCAATCTTTATATAAGTATGTCCTCTTAAAAATAAAACATGAAAACAAGAACAATTAAAAAGAAACCATGATGGAGGTAAACCAAATGCATTATGATGTTACTATTGTTCTTTATTTCTCAGAAGATTTTATTAAGAAATACAGGCCAGTTATCTTTTCAGGATAGCAGCTCTTAAAGGTAGTATACTGTTCAAATCTCTTTTGTTTTTCAATCTGTGCCACGACTGGGAGAGAAAGAAAAATCATTCTTAAAACATAAAACTTATATAAGTGGAACAAAGACTGAAATGAGAGTTACTAGGAATGTTAAATAGTGGTTCTCTCTAGGTGGCAAAATTGGGGTAATATTTTTCCTTTGTGTTTTTTATCTCCCAAGTTTTTAATACAGTAAAAGTATTGCTTCTGCCATCAGAAAAGAAAATGTTATTTAAAAACTCTATACCTGTGTGATTCCAATTCATTAAAAAAGAAATGGACACAGCATTAAAAAAGAAATGGACACAGAGATGGTACAAAAAGATACAACTGACAATATTAACATTTATTCAGAGATTTAAACTATTTCATCTACAACAGCAAGGTAATGAAGACAAAACCTTCGGGTTTGAGAGGGTGTGAGAAAATTACTTCAATTACTTGGTTGACTAGTTTGCATCTAGTAAGCTTTTTCAATCAAAAATAGTATTATGGAGAGAGTAAATCTCAAATAAACCACTTTATAGTTTTGAAAAGGAAGAGTAAACATATAACTTGTAAAAAAAAACAAAAAAAAAAACCCAAACTCTTATTCACAGGCTAAAACTCTGGCTCACTACTTGGTGACTGCGTATCTTTGTAGTTTATTCTCACTTCAGTTGTTCAGTTGACTGAAAGTACTGGTTTTATAAAACTTTTTTTTTTTTTAAGATTTTATTTATTTATTTGACAGAGAGAGACAGGAAGAGCAGGAACACAAGCAGGGGGAGTGGGAGAGGGAGAAGCAGGCTTCCCGCTGAGCAGGGAGCCCGATGTGGGACTCGATCCCAGGACCCTGGGATCATGACCTGAGCCGAAGGCAGACGCTTAACGACTGAGCCACCCAGGCGCCCGAAAGTATTGGTTTTATAGCTAATCAATCCTAAATGAAAACTCATGCATCAACAATGTAGCAATGCTATTTCTGAGTTCTCAATTTGTTCTGATAGACAAAAATATTCCCTCTTGGATATTTGTTTTGCCCTGCAGAATTCCATTAATCTTAATATTCTAATCTGGCTGACAAACTGAGAGGGCCTAACGTGGAAGGATAGCTTGTAATATGATAAACTTGCATTTTTAATTATCATCAAAATAAAGTCCACTTCTACGTCTAATGAGAAAGTATCCCTCTAAAATGACCTTCATAGTTCGCTGATCTTTTTCTTCAATGAAGCATTCTCTCCTATATGTCTCACAGTATGTATTTCCATCAATGTGTTTCTACACTGTACTGTGGAACTCCTTGAAAAAAGAAACCACACCTAACAAAATCACTGATGAATCAATTCATACTGTAGACCAAAGAGCCAAATAATAAATGACAGTTTACATACATATGGCTGAAATTTATATATACAAAATGGGTGATACACACACATTGATTTTCTTTTAATTTCTCAAAATATAAGCAAAGATAAAAAGGTACTCAGGTTCACTGTTACAGTGGGGTACACAGAAGAAAAATCATGGAACAAACATCAGCTCTATTCTAAAGCTACACTAAGTTCCTTGAAATTTTAAGGAGAGAAATGAGTCCATTAGGTTTTACTCACTCATTCTGAGAGCTTAACTGGCTCACTAAGGAAATGCTTACTTCCATCAGAGTGAAAGCCATGTGAACGAAAACAGATTTCTCTGAAGGAAAAGTGTATCTCTCAATCAAGTAATAAATTTCCTACTGTGCCACTTTAATGACTTCATAACACAGGAACCAGGGCTATTATGTTCTATATTTTTCCATTTTCAAAGCATACTATTCCACTAATGTTTCTAGAGTTAATCTGATGCATTATTTACCTTTAAAAATTGATCCTTGATCATGTCAAATTTCTGCTTTTCATGCACCGCTCTGGCTGTATTTGTTCCATCAAAAGGTTCTACAATATTAAATGTACATATAAACAAGAAGTTATTAAAATTAGAACTTCAGTTTCTATATTAGGTTTAACTATATGAAACTGTCAATATTTGACAGTTTTTAACCTACAAAATAGCAACTGCATATTGTGAAGCCTAATCTCTTATTTGATATATGCATATAAAAATAGTTTTATTATGAACTGTGTTCTAATAAGGTAGATACAATTCAAGAGAGAGGATAACTAAAACAAAGTCATCAGCATAGGTATGTTAAGTCTAAATCACAAAAGTGAGTAAGAACTCTGAAGAATCACAGAGGGTAAAGGACCTATCCCTACCCTAAGGGAAATAAAAGTAAGTTAAAGAACAATTATCAGAAAGAATAAAACACTGTACGCAAAAAAGGTGGTCAATGTCAAATACCACAGAAAGGTAATTTTAAATTTAATTTTAATTTAAAAGGCCACGATCTGTCCAGCAGGAGAACGGTCACTACCTTTCAAAGTAGAGGTTTAATACTCAGGAGGATAGAAAACAGTGCAGAGTTATGGTGTGAGTAGGTGGTTTAGAAAAAGATACAGTGAGTACAGTAACTTGTAGGAGAAATTTGGCAGTGAAAGGAGAGGGAGAAACAGGAGAGCAAGTACAGAAGACAGAAAGAAAACAAAGCAGAAGTTTTTATGTGTGTCGTGTCTCCAACATTACCTTCCACATCTTCACCCCCCACCCACTAACCCTTCATCCACAAGGTAAGAGACAAGAGTCCATATATAGACATAAGGAAACTATCTACATGAGAAGAAAGGAAACTGAGGATGCTAGTGAGCAAAGGAAGATAACTAGAGGCATTAAAATGAGATGAGATAGCTGAAATAATGCCAAGAGTAGGTAAAAATGACTAGAGTTTAAGAATTTGGGCACTGGGGGTGCCTGGGTGGCTCTGTCAGTTAAGCATGTGGTTCCTGATCTCAGCTCAGGTCTTGATCTCAGGGTCGTGAGTTCAAGCCCTATGTTGGACTCCACACTGGGTGTGGAGCCTACTTAAAAAATAAAAAAAGAATATTGGCACTGTAAAAGAGGAAAAAAAGGTACTTACAAGAGCCAGTAAAATCAAGAGTATTTTTCAAGGATGAGAAGACCTATGTATGCTCTAAAGCTGAAAGAGAATGTGACTAGAGAGAAAAAAAATGAAGTCGCTAGAAGGAAAAAAATGCAATTGAGGAGAAAGACCTGGAAAAAGCATGGAAGAATAGGAAATATGATGAAGACGTTAACTCTAGATTTGTCAAATCTAATCAGGCCCGTAATTTAAAAAAAAAAAAAAACCCTCCTTTTGTGTCTATATATATTTTTTATTGCTTACTAAGGCCATTTTTAAAAGTTTATTGTCACAGTATAGGATACACTGTTTTACTGCACTTCACTTTATTGCACTTCACAGATATTGTGGGTTTTTTTTTTTTTTAATAAATTGAAGGTCTATGGCAACCCTGTGCTGAGCAAGTCTAGCAGTGCCATTTTTCCAACAGCATTTGCTCACTTTGTTGTCTCTATCACATTTTGGTAATTCTCCTAGTATTTGAAACTTTTCATCATTATTGTATCTGTTATAGTGATCTGTGATCAGCTGTCTTTGATGCTATTATTATAATTGTTCGTGGGCACCATGACCATACCCACACAGGATGGCAAACTTAAGAAATGTTGTGTGTGTTCTGACTGCTCCACCCAGTGGCCGTTGCCCCATCTCTCTCCCTCTCCTCAGGCCTCCCTATTTTCCCTGAGACACATCAATATTGAAATTGGGCCAATTAATAACCACACGATGGCCCTTAAATATCCAAGTGAAGTGAAAGGAAGAGTTACATATTTTTCACTTTAAATCAGAAGCTAGAAATGATTAAGCTTGGTGAAGAAGACATGCTGAACACCAAGACAGGTCAAAAGCTAGGCTTCTTGGACAAGTTAGCTAAGTTGTGCATGCAAAGGAAAAGTTCCTTACGGAAATGAAAAGATGAAAAGAGCTACACCAGCGAATACATGAATATGAAAGTGAAACAGTCTTACTGCTGATATGGAGAAGTTTCAGTGATCTGGATAGAAGACCAAGTAGCCACAATATTCCCTTAAGCCAAAATCTAGTTTAGAGCAAGGCCCTAACTCTCTCTAATTCTATGAAGGCTGACAGAGGTGAGGAAGCTGCAGAAGAGAAGTCTGAAGCTAGCAGAGTTTGGTTTATGAGGCTTAAGGAGAGAAGCTATCTCCATAATGTAAAAGTGTAAGGTGAAGCAGCAAGTGCTGACATAGAAGCTGCAGAAATTTATTCAGAAGATCTAGCTAAGATAATTCCCGAAGGTGGCTACATTAAACAACAGGTTTTCCATGTAAATGAAACAGCCTCATATTTGAAGAAGATGCCATCTAGGATTTTCATAACTAGAGAGAAGTCAATGCCTGGCTTCAAAGTTTCAAAGGATAAGATGACGCTCTTATTAGGGGCTAATGCCGCTGATGACTTTAAGTTGAAGTCAGTGTTCATTTACCATTCAGAAAATCCTAGGGCCCTTAAGAATTATGCTATTTATGCTAGATCTACTATGCCTGTGCTCTATAAATGGAACAACAAAGCCTGGACGACAGCACATCTGTTTACAACATACTATTTTAAGCCCACTTTTAAGACCTACAATTCAGAAAAAAAAATTCCTTTCAAAATATGACTGCTCCTTGACAATGTACTTGGTCACCCAAGAGCTCTGATGGAGATGTACAATGAGATTGTTGTTTTCATGCCTGCTAACACAATATCCATTCTGCAGCCCATCAATCAAGGAGTAACTTTCAAGTCTCATTACTTAAGAAATATATTTTTTAAGGATATAATTGGCCATAGATCGTGCTTTCTCTATGGATCTGGGCAAAAGCCACTGAAAACCTTCTAGAAAGAATGCACCATTCGAGATGCCATTAAGGATATTTGTGATTCATGGGAAGAGGTCAAAATATCAGCATTAACAGGAGTTTGGAAGAAGCTGATTCCAACCCTAATGGATGGCTTTGAGGGGTTCAACACTTCAGTGAAGGAAGTAACTGCAGATGTGGTGGAAATAGCAAGAGAACTAGAATTAGAAGTGGAGCTTGGAGATGTGGCTGAATTGCTACCATCTCATGATAAAATTTGAGTGGATAGGACCTGCTCCTCAGAATCTACTCCTGGTGACAATACTGAAAAAACAACAAAGGATTCAAAGGATTAAGAATATTACATAAACTTAGTTGATAAAGCAGGGGCAGGGTTTGAGAGGATTGACTCCAATTTTGAAAGAAGTTCTACTGTGGGTAAAATGCTCTCACATGCTACAGAGAAATCATTTGCGAAAGGAAGAGTCAATTGATGCAGCAAGCTTCACTGTTGTTTCATTTTAAGAAACTGCCATAGGTACCTCAACCTTCAGCAACCATCACCCTGATCAGACAGCAGCCATCAACATTGAGACAAGACCCTCCATCAGCCAAAAGATTACGGCTTGTTGAAAACTTAGATGATGGGTAGAATTTTTAGCAACAGTCTTCTTAAATTAGGATATGTACATTATTCTTTTAGACATAATGCTACTGTGTACTTAATAGACTACAACATAGGGTAAACATAACTTTTATATGCACTGGAAAACCAAAAAAATTCATGACTCACTTTATTGCAATACTTGCTTTATTGCGGTGGTCTGGAACTGAACCCACAATATATCCAAGCTATGCCTGCGTTTTTTCACAGCATAATGCCAAGCTATTGGATCACATCACACACAGCACTTTACAAGTATTTAATATTCAAAAGAACACAAGTAACTAAAATAATATACACTCACTGTGCAACTTAACAAACCAACCACCAAAGCAGGAAATTTAATTTCATATTCATAAACTCTTAAGATGTTGCATGTAATCCAAGATTAAAACATTCTAAATGTGATGTTTTCCTACAAATGCTGTTAACGCTTTATTCTTTTTTACCTCAACGTTTACAAAAGTCTTCAATTTAGCATCAGGGAGAATAATTTTGCTTCTTGAAGTCAATTTCCCACCAACTCAAAGAAATATTCAACTATATGTAAATTAATTTTAGAGAACAGATTATCTTCAGGGCATTTTATTTTTAAAGTAAAATAAATTTCTATTCATAAAAATCTAGCTTGCATTAAATATCAACATTTTAATTTTAAAAGAACTCATTTTATCTCAATGTAAGAATTATCACATGAAGATAGTATTTTCTTCTACCTTCAAGTCATGAAATTAAGCTTCAATCAACTACAAGCAGGAGGGATGCATAAAGACTGCTCAAATATTATGAACTAGAAGATTAAATGCCTAAATTCATATTTATTATTTTTTACAGGTAAAGAATTAAATTACTTTTAAAAATTAAATGAAAACAGCCAGAAAAAGGAATGAAATCTTGCCATTTGCAACAATGTGGATGGAGCTAGAGAGTATTATGCTAAGTGGAGTTAATGAGAGAGAGACAAATATCATATGATTTTATTTATATGTCGAATTTAAGAAACAAAACAAACCAACACAGAGGAGGAACAAAAGAGAGAGGCCAACCAAGAAACAGACTGCTAACTACAGAGAACAAACTGATGGTTACCAGAGGGGAGGTGGGTGGAGGGATGGGTGAAATAGATGATGGGGATTAAGGAGGACACTTGTGATGAGCATCAGGTGTTGTATGGAAGTGTTGAAGCACTAACTTCTACACACCTGAAATCAATATTAAACTATAACTGGAATTAAAGTAAAAAGTTGGAAGAAAAAAAAAGAAAATTTTATAACTAAAAGACTTGTAAATCAGAACATAAATGTATTACTTTTAACTGAAATACAAACTGGAATTATTCAAGTAATTCTCTCAGTACCATGGTGATAACCAGATGGTAAATAAGTAGTTGTGGAAAATCTACCTTCTACACAGATGTATTTATTTCTCCATTCAATACCATCAGGCCTGGGAATGGCTTTGGCTTCACGAACTGAAATCATTTGACTGTTCCAGCTACAAGAAGAAAAACATAACTGTTAACTATTTTCTTAATTTTCCCTTTTATTGTATTTATTATATAATACTAAGTCCCACTCTAATTTTCTCACAAAATACTGAAACTTGCCTTGACCCTCAGCACCACAATCCCTGTTTCAATACCCTTCTTTTTTCTCCACAGCACTTATATTTTAACAATTTGCTTATTTATTATTGTTTACTGTATGTCTCGCCCAAGCAGAATGAAAGCTCCAAGATGGTGATTTATGTATTTTTTCACTGTTCAAATAGTTGCTTAGTATAAAGTAGGCCTTCAATACATATTTATTGAATAAATGAAGTAATATGAAAAATAAGAAAGCATAAGTAAGCAAAAAATGTAAAAATTGTGTTCACTGTTAGCACCTCAGTAAGAATTTTTTATTTGTTAAGAGAGATGCAATCTTGTGTTGTTTTCTGGTATCATTAAATAATTTTTGTTTACTGCATGTCCACTTGTATGATTTGGGAGAAAATTTTACAACTATCCAAGAGAAGCCAGTAGATGCTGTTTTAGGAAAAATTAATACTCTATGAAAACATACTGTTATTGCTATATATCAGATGTAGCTCTTAACAGTAAAGTTATATTCAAGTAAAACAATTTTTTATCAGCATGTCTGAAAGTAAACTGTTCAGTCTTTAGTATGTACTAACCTTATATTGTTTTTTAAAAATTTCTTTACAATTATAATAGTTCTGCACAAGTACAATTTTCTTTTTCTCAAGGAACACTGTAAAACGTATGACCATTCAGCTTGTATGTGAGAGACAAATGAGTTTGGAAAATAGTTGATATCTCTTTTTTCAGCCATATTTAGCTTTGTCCATCATTTCAGTAAGAATAAAAAGACCAAGCTTTGGGACCTTCCAACTCCAACACTTATCTTACCCTTCCTCTACTTTATCAGATAAAAGAATCCCTAGGAATATAACTGAGGGTCCAATATGGCACTTGTTTCTGGAAAACTGATTAATCTCTATGTTAAATATGCAAAAAAACATTGCATCTTATGAAGTTTGATAATTGAAAAGGATCCTCAAGTATGATCTTCTATTTTTTCTTATAAGGAGTACAATTTAGAAATACTTTGCAAAGATAACTTTAAGTTCTTTAAGAATACATATCAGAATTTATGCTTTTTAAAAACTAAGCAGGTTCTCAATGAGAAACAGTATTAATTACAGTAACATGTTTTAGATATTTCATGTACAGCAGCTCCATTAGTATAAACTCCAAACAGAAAAGTACACTGCTCTGTTGGTCCAAGTGTGTTTCCAAAATTTTTTTAAAATAACAATAAACAGGTGCCTGGCTGGCTCAGTCGATAGGTAGAACATGCAACTCCTAGGTAGAACATGCAACTCCTGACGTTGGGGTTGTGAGTTCAGGACCCACAATGGATACAGAGATGACTTAAATAAATTAATAAATAACTAATAACAATAAAATAAAACAACAATGTCAAGGAGAGAGTTATATAACCACATGCCTGAACCAAACATGATCACAGTAGAATTATACTATGTGCTTTACTTTTATACTGCTTAAGATATATTTCACTAATAAAATGAACTTTTTTCTTGAGACTACTTGTTTCTCACTGAACTTACAGGACAGTTGAATCTGCAATAAAATTAAAATTGGAAACATTATGTTAAAAAGGGATAAACCATTTTTTTTCAGACAAGTTTAGAATCTTGAAACTGTATCCTGCTGTTAAATTACAATTTTTACTTTCTTAAATCAAAGGAACTCTCCTCACCATACTTGTATGAAATCCAATCCAGAATTTATATTACATGCCAATACTTGGTTCTAAACCAGGTGACAGAAACATATGTGACATACCAATATTCACTTTATCATCCCTAAACAGGTATCATTTAAGCTTCAACCTATAATCAACCCAAATAATGCAGTTATTTAAGTGACTGTAACACCTGAAGTACTTCACAGAGAAAAAAAATATTTTAAATCACTATTATTTAGACTGATTCAATCTATTACATTTCAAAGCACTTTTAAATATTTCTAAATTACTAAATATATGAAAGCATAAAACCTGATACATAAAACTTATATGCTATTTTTACTCTTCAGAGGTGAATTTAAATGTAAAATTCAAATGGCAATTTAGAAACATTTTCCCTAAATATTTCTTTCTTTAAAACAGGCCCCAAATTAAACCTTTTATCACACCATATTTTTCTACCATAATTTGTTTGCCATGTAAAAATCTGTTATTGTCATTCAATAATTAAAATGTAAAATAAGATATAGTCCATAGAAGAGGAATGTATCAGAAAAGAACAGGAGAACAGATATAGGGTTTAATTTAATCTAAAACAGATCTGATAATATATGACAATCTTTTGATTGTAAAACTGGGTTTACCAACCCCACATTGGTAAGATGTTTGCTTCTTTTCTTCAGTAATGATAATGAACTGCTACTTATCTATTAACTCTCTTCTAGCCATTCTTTTTGTGACTAAGTATTTATTTCAAAATACTATGCTTACACTGGAACATTACAAACAAAAATTTAAGTCCAACAAAAAGTCAAAATTATGGGTCTGAACTATGTGGCTATATATATTAAGCAAGACTAGTCAAATTAAGTGAACAAATATATATAGTTTTGTTTTATTATTAAGGGCTGGGAAGCAAACAAAAAGAAAATGTCAGGGATTTCAAACCTCGTAAGCAAACAGAAAATTCTGCTCTAATCCCAGAGTTTTGGTTTGTTTTGTTCTTCTGCCTGACATCCTTAAATGCAGTGTCCATCAGGGCCTTGCCTCTTTCAATCCTCTTCTAATGCTACAGTACCACTCCCAAGCTTTAACAGTCTGATGTTTCTTTCCCAAATCCTTTTCTCCAGCTTTGACCTTGCTACTACTAAGCTCTAGGACAATTATTGCAACTAACAATTGGAAACTGCCACCTGGATGTCCTACATGCATCCCCGTGTCCACATTTTCAAGACTGAATTTAATACATTCAGTCCATGGTCAGTTATTAAAAATCACTTGCTTGCATACCATCCCCCCCAAACTCTCTTACCCTTCTTGCTGCACTGAACTTAGTTGGTTGAAATACAACCATAATTAAATCTTTGTCTACTTCAATCCTTTCCCCCGCAACTCAATGTGGCTGGAGAAAAATATGCAACCATGCTGATCTTAAATTCATGATAACTTTAAATTCACTTAAAATTCATGATGACTTAGCTCAAAAGGACCCTAAATGCTACTACCCACCAAATATACTGTATTTCCATAGTTAATTCACTCCTTTACTCTCCTACAGAATAATTCATACTTTCCCTCACTTTCCAAATCTCCTCCCTCACAATCATTCCCAGGTGATGTCCATGCTTCATCTCACTAAAAAAACTAAAGCAACCAAAAGATAATTTCCACTAGCTCCCACATCAGTTCAACTGGCATTCCTTTGAATCATATACTCTTTTACTTACTATTATTAATGCATCATCTGTGCTCCTATCCCACTTGTGCTCTAGATTCCAACCCTTCCTGATTCAAAGAAGCATACTATTCAACAATTTACTATCTTTTTCTGGTATCATCAATTTTGCCATCAAGATAGGTTTTTTCTCCTTTCTAAAAAACAAAAACTCAACCCCACTTAACGCTCCAATTTCTACTCCATTTTTTCTGCTCCCCTTTATAAGTATATACACTCTACATATTACAGTGTCTAAACACTATCCTATCTGTATTTAATTCATCCCTGTTCACTCCTGAGCCCACACCAATGATGCTTTTTATCCCTATTTTTCCACAGAAACTGCTCCTAATAAAGGTCCAGTGGCCTCCATGTGGACCAATATTGCAATGGTCAGCTTTTAGTTCTCATCTTTTACTCGATCCATCAAAAAATGTGACACAGATAATCACTCCTTCCCCCTTGAGACATTTTTTCTCTTTGGATTCCAGGACAACACATTCTATTGGCTTTCCTCCTATCTCAATGATAGACTATAAATTAGTTCCTTCTTATCCCTAACCTCATGTATATACTATACAATTTATTTGTTTATTGTCTATCTCTCCATACTACAATACATACTACAATATAAGCTCCATGAAGACAAAGACTTCTGCCTGTTTTGTTAAATGTCATATCCCCGGTGCATAGAAAAACAGCTTGATATATAGTAGGCAGTCAATGATTTATTGATTAAATGAGAGGAAAAAAATCAGTAAGAAAGGAGATAGTCAAAAAAATTGGGCCTTTGTAATTTCCTACTTAAAAAATGTATTTAAGGGGCGCCTGGGTGGCTCAGTCGGTTAAGCAGCTGCCTTCGGCTCAGGTCATGATCCCAGCATCCTGGGATCGAGCCCCACATCGGGCTCCATGCTCAGAGGGAAGCCTGCTTCTTCCTCTCCCACTCCCCCTACTTGTATTTCCTCTCTCGCTGTCTCTCTCTGTCAAATAAATAAAATCTTTTTAAAAAATGTATTTAAGTATGTAGGCATGCATTTTTAACACAAGAGATTAGACTAGCAATAATGGCATGTGATTAGGCATCCACAGAATAAAAGGATTACAAAATAGGTAACTTTTTAAGGCTTCTAGAATCTCTAGTACCTAGGTGTCTGTAAGATATTTAAAACATATTTTGTTTTGTTTTGTTAAAATACAAAATGATTACATTCAGACTTTATTTTTTCCTAGTTTCTCTAAGCAACCTGATCCTTTTTTTTTTTTTTAAAGATTTTATTTATTTATTTGACAGAGAGAGACACAGTGAGAGAGGGAACACAAGCAGGGGTAGTGGGAGAGGGAGAAGCAGGCTTCCCGCGGAGCAGGGAGTCCAATGCGGGGCTTGATCCCAGGACTCTGGGAACATGACCTGAGCCGAAGGCAGACACTCAATGACTGAGCCACCCAGGCGCCCCAACCTGATCCTTTTTTAATTTATCAGTTCCCTGCTCCCAGGTACAGTTCTAGAAGCATGGCTTCATTTTAAGAATTTTCAGCAGGAAGGTTTAGAAGAAAGCTGTGAGTGAAGTAGGTAAGAAAATCTTGGTAATTTTTATTTATTTTTTTTTAATTTTTATTGTTATGTTAATCACCATATATTACATCATTAGTTTTTGATGCAGTGTTCCATGATTCATTGTTTGTTCATAACACCCAGTGCACCATGCAAAACGTGCCCTCCTCAATACCCATCACCAGGCTAACCCATCCCCCCACCCCGAAAATCTTGGTAATTTTTAAATAGGCATACAAAATTTCCGCAACATTTATACCATATACTCAAGCATCCCTTGACACTTAATTCTGTCTTCGAGTAAAGAGAATTTTTTAAATGAATGTCTCAAAGTTCAGAAGAAATCCTTACAAACATTTCTAACAGCTGCCAGAATTCCTTTGCACAGCACCTAGTTCACTGCCATGACTACATTCTTGGCAGTGCTCCCTACAGTCAAATTTCTGAAAATATCTGATATGAAACAATAATACACTTGACAAATGCACTGTATGATGAAAGAAAAGGTGACGATGTCTCCAAAATCATGTATCATAGTGATAACAAATGCATCCAAAAGTTCAAAACCTCTTTCAAAGTCTCAGCATCCTAGCCAGTTTCATTTGGCACAACCGGCTAGTTTCTGTTAATACTAAACTAATACACAAACCTGTTCATCTACCTTTTTGTTTCAGTACAACAAAGCAGTTGGCTTTCAAGGCACTGGTATCTAGATGTTCTAATCCTAAACTATACACGGTAGAAATATACCTTTTTTCTATGAATCCTTTCCCCTCTCTGCAAACTTCACTAATTTACAATAGAAAAGACAATGCCAATATATTCTAACAATTAAGAATGTGGTTTTGGAGTCAGACCTGAGACTGAATCCCAGTTCTCTCACTATCTAGCTGTACTGCCATGGACAAGTTTCAAGTACACAAATTCCCTAGGCCTCACAAGGTGTTACTGTGAGGATTAAATAATACACAAAAATCACTCAGCATACTGTAGGACATTAAGTAAATACTCACGAAACATCAGCTTTTGTTATTGCAGCATCTTACAAATCTTGACTCTAGAATAACCTTTGTAGTCTCTTATGTCCCTTGTCTTATAGCCTTAAATCTTTTCTCATCCTATAAATGAAGGCCCCTTCCTTTTTATCCTTGTTGCCTGGACTTAAACTCGGGTCCTAGTCATCTTTAATGATGATGATTATAACTTCATTCTTATTGAACTACTTTCCACCAGCACTTTTCCTACATTTTTTCTTAACCTGATTCAGTAATTTTTAAGTCATCTCCAGGATCTTTGCAACATGTCTATAATCTTACCCTCTACTTCAAAATTATTTATTTATAGCAAGAATTTTTCAAGTACCCACTCTCTGGCACTGGGCTAAGTAATGGAGACTCAACTGTAAATAAAACAGACACATTCTGATGAAAGCTCTGCGCTGAAGAATTTAAGTAACATTACTTCTTTCATGCCCTATGTTTCAAATCATCTGAGTCAAGTTTCTTTAGAGCTACTGCATCATAGCAAATAAGGCAATACCAACACTGCAGTAAAGTACCATAGTTAAGAGTACGAATTTTGCAGTCAAAATTAACAGAAATACTCCCCGTGACTAGCTGTGTGATCTTAGGGCAAGTTTCTTCACCTCTCTCTATATATGCTTCACTGGTAAAATGGGCATGATGTAATATTGTAACATATGACTATTATGTAAATGAGAAGATACATATAATCTGTTGGGAACCGTTTTTCCCAGCTAGTAATAACAATTTACAAAGAATGCTATTATTATTCCCCTCTCCAAATCTTTTCAAAATGGCACCCTGTGGTTACCATACCCTCCTCCTCTAACTTTGTAAAACTCCTAAGTCCTTTCTCTTTCCCCCCTTCAAACCTTTCTAAATTGATCAGAAGAGCTGCAATTCCTAACCCCACTCTATCTGGACTTCTAGAACTCCCTTAGGAACATTCAGTTAAGTCCAGTCTAATTATACACTTCAGCATTCCATGTTTACATATCACCCTCAGAAGAAAGGGGGAAAAAAAGGAAAGAGAGTATTCCTTGATTTTTATATACTAACATAACTATTCAGATATCAAGGAGATCTTTTTCCATATTTGTCTTAGCTGTGCTTTTTACTATAAATCTTAACTTGCGAAAAACAGATGTTTCAAACTATACAGAACCTATATAGGGCCAACCCAAACATTTATTCAGGCCCTACTAGGAAAAGAGGGAGCTAAACATAAGACAGGATCGCTACCGAAATCAACTAAAATTGGGCTTACTGAACTATCATTTTTCATTAGATAGGAATATAAAATCTATTTAGTTTCTAATAATCACTAGATATTAAATTTTATAAATTACACATTTCTGGACAAGTTTGTAGCTTCTGACCAAAAGTGTAGCATTCACATATGTAAATGAATAAAACACAATCTGATGTTTCACTTACTCAAATTCTGTAGCATAATATTTAAGAAAGCCCAGTAAGAGGTCCCCAAGATTTGACTCATTCTTCGAGAGGTAAGGAGGAACATTACATGGAGCTTGATGTACAAGGTGCAGCTGTACAGCAGGACTAAAAGATTCCTGTCAAAAAGAAAAAGGGGGAAATATAAAGTCATTTAAAACACACACTAAAAACTTTACAAATCCTGACCTAATGCTCTCTGAAGAAGAGAGAAGAAATCTTCTTTATGTTGGCAGTTTGGAAATCTGAAGATTTTCTTCCACTAAAGACTTCACCGGTGTTTGCAGTATGTGAGAAAGTACCCAAAAAACTAAGACACTCTAAACCCTGGCTGAGGCAAATCACGCATTTAACCAAGAGGCCTACAGTAGCAGAAGATTTCTTAACTCATAAATAAATCCTTACTGTACATACCAAGATTTCATCAAATAACATAATAGAGATTTCTTTATAAATGTTCCTCCTTCTTAAGTGCCTCTACAAGGAGCAGTTGTACTTTATAAAGGCTATATCAAGTACAAGGTAACAGCATTTTCTAACTGCCACTTAAAATTTCTCTTAGAGGCCATAAAAGTAACTAGTATATGAATAGTACTTTCACCAGTTTTAAGATTTTTAAAATTTTGTTTTATTTTTGTATTTTGTATCTTATTGGGAAGAGAAGACAGACATTCAACATGAACTGAACTTGAAAAGACATAGATGGCAGGGAAAAGAAGAACGATAGGAAACTAAGCAGCAAGCAATATTCAACAAACTTTTACCACAATATTCATAAAGGAAGATATCATTTGCTTGTAATCCACGCCCAAACAACACACTTATTAGAAAGAATACTAATGGGTACTTATTCTTTTTGCTAACTATGCCATTCATTTTCATATCTGATCCTTCCTCTGTTAGCAGCAAGTTCTGGCTCTAAAACATACTAAATGAACCACAGAGATTCTCAAGTAATACATATCCAAATGTTAGAAAACACTCTTAAGGTAATTTGCACAGTTGCCCTTAAGACAGGTTTTCTACATTCCCCTTTGCCATTAGAGTAATAACAGATTTTTTTTAAAGCAACTAGTTAATGGATGACAGCTATTCTTTTTTATTGTTATGTTAATCACCACACATTACATCATTAGTTCTTGACGTAGTGTTCCATGATTCATTGTTTGTGCATAACACCCAGTGCTCCACACAGAACGTGCCCTCTTTAATACCCATCACCAGGCTAACCCATCCCCCCATCCTAACCCAACCCTCCTCCCCTCTAGAACCCTCAGTTTGTTTTTCAGAGTCCATCGTGGATGACAGCTATTCTTAAGGTTCCCAAATACTTAACAAATCAACCTTGAGTTTACAGATATCAGTTCAATTAGTAACCCAACTTTAAAAAACAGAGGGTCCCTAAATAACTAAATTGTAATACAGAGAAATTGGGTAGTGCATCTAGTTAAAGGTGATCCTCAAAAATCATCAGGAAAAGTAAAAGAGCAAGAAAATAAAAAATTCCCTCCCGTCCTATTACCTACAATTCTAGCCATAATTTTTAACTACCAAGAAGTGATTACCCTTCTTTCAGAAGACAACCACAGTTCATAAAGCTAATACTCCTAAACTTCGGACCTCCCCTTATACTTCTAGCAGATTTAGTATTATATTATGAGACTTAAGTAGAAATCTAAATTGTTTCTAAGACTAGGTGGAGTTAGGGAAGAAGTCTCAATTTATAATGAAGAGTGGAAGCAGAAGGAAGAGCAGGAGTACTGCTTCTACCACCCTTTGTCTTTTACTTGTTAAGTGTAAAACTGAACTTAGGACAGTATTTTAAATTGTAAAATTTCAATATTATTTTCTGGCTAATTAAACAAAAAGGTTAACCTAAGTTCAAATGACAAGGAAAAGAAAAGTGGGTACTATTTAACCGGTTCCACTCTGAAAGCTTCTTACTAATTTTGACTTCTACGACATACCACAGTAAGCACTCAATTTATTAACTGATGCTAAAATAAAAGTCATTTTCTTACCTTAAATCTAAAACTGTTTAAACCTCTTTTAAAATTTTTATTTTGTTCAATAAGTTAAAGAAAAAGATCAGCAGTTGTAAATTAACATTGAAGAGTTGTAAGACCTACTCTACTAAAATGGTGAATGACTTTGAGCCAACAATTTGACCAGTCTCCTCTTAATGCCACTATTCTTTTTCATGGTCATATACAAAAAGGGCCATATCATACATACTAGGGGAGAATTGAAGGCGAAATCCAAACTTAAAAAAAAAAAAAAAGGATCCAAAAGATGCTACAAGTTAACAGAAATTCCATTTAACCATTAGAAATCCCCATTTTTTATAATCATTAACATTACAGAAAGAGTCTCTGCTTTAAGAAAAATTTCATCAAAAAAATTTTTTTAAAAAGGAAGCTCCCCTACTGCGTATGTACTTAAGAATAATATACACTACTTTGAATAGGATATGGGTAGGCAAAACTTAAGCTAACATATTAGAAAACACATAATGACCAATCCAAAAGCCAAAGCAATTACAACCAAAATCCATGGAAAACCAATTTAACTGAGAACAATGTAATATCTATTTCTTAAAGCATTTGAGGTGGGGATTACTGATACTTAATGCTGTTTGTTTTTAATGTGGGGAAGATATCTTTATTACTTTTTAAGGGTAGATCTTATATGGGGCCTCTAATAACCAAATTTGTAATGACTTAATTCCTGAAAACATTTTCCAATTGATATTTAAATGCTAACATTTTTAAACATATGTATCATCCTTTTCTTCCCTCAATCAACGCAAAGTTAAGAAAAATTTTAATGGGCAACCCCTTGAAAAACTGCAAAGTCTCACTTTTTTGCTCATACAATTGCCTACCAAAAACGGCAAAAACACCTTTTGCCAAATTCCATTATTTTCTGATTTGTGCCATAATATCTTACCTTCAAAGTTTGAAATTTGGACAATTAAGCACTTTCTGGAATAAATTAGATTGGCTAAACTTTCACTTGATAACTGTTCTTTAAAAAGATACATGCCTTAGGGGTACCTGGGTGGCTCAGTCAGCTGTGCAGCTGACTCTTGATTTTGGCTCAGGTCAGGATCTCAGGGTCCTGAGGTCTGGCTCTGCACTCAGCATGGAGTCTACTTGAGATTCTCTCTCTCCCTCTCCCTTTGCCCCTCCCTCTGGTTGCATAGGCACACATTCTCTCAATAAATTTATTCCCTATTGTTTAAAAGATTTTATTTTATTTTAGAGACAGGGAGTGGGCAAGTGGGATGAGAGAGGGAGAGAGAGAGAGAGAGGAAGCTGACTCCCTGTGTTGGACTCCACACTCAGCTCAGAGTCTAGTTGAAGAGTCTCTCTCTCCCCCTTCATCTGCCCCTCCCCGTGTGCACATACACACACAATCTCTCTAAATAAATAAATATTTAAAAAAAAAAAAGATATATGCCTTAAATGAAGGAGGACTGTTTTCTACCTCCAAGCAAACAAATTTGTTACATCCTATTCTAACAATATGAATTGTTAGGCCCTGAATATAAATGTTGAGAAAGGTCTCAAAGAAAAGGATAACTGATATGGAGTACTTAGGCAGAGCTCTGAATGAATAAAGAGCTAAATGATATACTGAAGTTCTACCAAGCTTTCTTAATTGTATGCAGATTACCACTAATCTGGTGATAACATGTTAAAGACTGATCACTAAATTCTTTAAATTATATTTGCTTTTAAACTTTTTGAAAGCTTTTTTGGAAAGCTTTTAAAGTTTTGTAATCAACATAAGTATCATAAAGTAGAAGTACAATAATGAAGTGGTTAAGAGCATGAACTTGGGAGTCAGATCTAGCTTTGAAACCTATTAGCTATATGAACTTTATCAAGTTACCTAGCTTTCCAAATGTTCAGCTTCTTCATCTATAAGAAAAATAACAGTACTCATAGAACTGTAATGAGGATTAAATGATACAATGTATATAAAGCATAGCAGCAATAGTATTACCTACATATTAATTATTTAGTATATGCCAGGCATCATTATTATAACTACACAATTCATACAATAATACAGTATGGTTATCTCCTGAAATAATGTATTATTTCAAAATTAACTTCCTTGTAACTTTTAAAATTTAAATAATATCAATTTTAAGAGATTTTTTTATCATTAAAAGACTTCATCAAAATTTTTAAACTCATTTTTCAAAGGTATTCATTTATAGCCTGTTTTACATAACTAAAATCCTTCATATTATATGCATTTCAAAAATGAAAAAAGTTGCTATATGTGTATATGTATGTATATATGTAAAATTTAATGTATTTTCAATATACAACTGCACAGAGGAACTCTACATTCTCAGAATTCCTAATCTCATAACTATAAAGATGGCTTTCTGGAATATGAAGATATCATTAGGGAAAGAAACAAATATAAGTTGTCTCATAAATCTCCACCTAGCATAAATCTAGGTAAAATATGCTCTCGTGAAAATAAAGATCTCTTCATAAGCTTAACCTAAGTTTATATATTTAACCTCTCTCAACTTCATTGCTTTAACTCAATAATAAATATTCTGCTCTGTATCACTCATGTTGTTTTTTTAAGTCAGTTAAGAATTAAGTAGTAATAATAATGCTATATTATCATATGGCCCAGTGTGGAACTCTTGATTATCCAAGTGCCTTTGGTCATTGGTGGCAGCAAGACTTTATGGTTTTTAGCCAGTAGTGCTGCAACCAGATTTTACTGCAATATCTAAAGGGTCAAGTAGTGACTTTGTACCACTCCTGGGTGGCTCAGTCATTAAGCGTCTTCAGCTCAGGTCATGATTCCGGGGTCCTGGGATCGAGCCCCGCATCGGGCTCCCTGCTCAGCGGGAGGCCTGCTTCTCCCTCTCCCACTCCCTCTGCTTGTGTTCCCTCTCTTGGTGTGTCTCTCTTTGTCAAATAAATAAATAAAATCTTAAAAAAAAAAAACACTATTATTTCAAATTTAAGTATTCTGCCATGGAACCATCCATACCAGGCTGGAACATGACATATGAAATCTTCAATATTAAGGTTTCTCTCTGCTTGGCAGATTCTTAGGGGAATAATGACAGTTGCAATTTTGACTCTTGTGTTTTTAGAATTCAAATGGCATAGCTTTCTGAAATGAATTTTTCAAGTTTAACAGTTCATAGTAGGAGTTTTGTGATTTTAATTTCAGTGTTCTTGTTTTGTTAAAAAAAAAAAGATAAATATGACTTCATGCCAGTTTCCCAATAAGCCTCATATTCTTTTATTCACTACTTGATAATGTGTTGTTACAAATACTGTCACATAAGTAAATAAAAGTGAATAATTACTTAAAAAAAATAATGCATACCATACCCATTTTTAAAATAAATATATTACCATAAATCTGAGAAAATATGAAAATAACTTAAAAAAGCATAATACATTGAACAAATGTTATTCTATTCCAAAGTTTTTATCCTATTTTTTAATTCTATTTAACTATATTAGTGAAGCTCAAAATTTAAAAGAACCTTGTTCCCTTGTAAAATAACAAAGGTTTTTTTTTTGTTACTATAAAGTTTTAAGTCATTCTCAAACTTATTTATACAAGTTGAAATTTTGTCATACATGTTGTTCTTAAAGAAAGGTATATCTGTATAGGAACAATCAGATATACATAAAATGTAATAAGCAACAGAAACTATATTAGTGAATAGTACTATCATTTTGTCTTTAAAAATATCAGTTTCTGGATCCATAATTTGTGACTATACAGCTTGAATTAATAATGTAACCTTCCTTAAACTAAGACTTAGTTTCTTCAGCTGTGAATCAAGGACAATACAAGTTTATTTGTTTAGGATTAAGGATAATGCATATAATATTTATAGAGTGCTGACATAAAATAGATACTAAATAAGTGACAGTTATTAGTAGTAAGAAATAAGCTGATCTGTTTGTTCCATTAGATGGACCACTGAGAAAAGTGCTCTACTGATCAATCAGCTTACAGGTTTCATATAAAATTTAAAATCCTGTAGAGTGGATAGTAAGTCCTTACCCACATAAGCATCAATCTCATAGTAAAAATAATGTACTTTAAATATTTATGATAATGTAACCACATCTGAAAGCAAATTAAGATATTCTTAAATCTAGCAAGTCTTCCTATTAGTATTTTTTAAGGTTTTGCGCTGGACTAATATTAAATCTATTTCCCTGTTACAGGTATAGAAATAAGATTATTAGTAAAATAGGGGTGGAGAGTATAGGGTGAGAGATGGTGTATGTGAAGAGAAGTCAGGACTCTTATCATGGGGAAAGCTAGATAATGAGAAACATGAAAGAGAAGTAAAATGAGGCTCCTCAAACTAGAATATACCAGTAAGAACCTGGGTATCCTATAATAAAAGCAATACGTCTGTTCTGTTCTCCAGCACAGTGCATTAAGCTGAGATTTCATTAATATTTTGTATTAGTAAAAAGAGTTCATGCAGCAAGGGTTTTAAGTGAGATTTCTGTAAAAGCGTCTGTTCCATACACAATAATAGATTCTTTAAAGGATAAGTTTAACTATTAGATGCTTTGTATGCTGAAAAATATACATAGTTCCTTCTATACTGAAACCTAGGTCTTAACAAAAAAATTGAGACAAAAAAATGAAATAGTAACACCCAGTCACCATCTTTGACCTTTCAGTATAAGCTAAAGAAACAATACTTTATTGCAGGGAGAAAACCATTCAAGGATAAGGCCAAAAGTTCAAGTTACTTTTATTTCTACACCTTCTGATGCTTTCATTTTCATTATGTCTATGACAGCATAAATACTGATCCCTAGCAATAACTGAAATTCATTGTAATAGTTCTTCATAATAGCAGAAATTAGTTTTCAAAATGAGGAGGATAAGATATCCAGACTCCAAAAGATTCTTACAGATGTCTTTACCAGATGACCCACCACAAACTGGGAAGCCCCCGCTACAGCAAAATTCTATTACAGTGAACCTTTCATTATCCAGCACCTGGCATGTATGCATTACAATAATAACCCATGTTCAAAAACAAGAACATCAGTTCTTCTCAATTATCAAAGATTAAGTTAAATTTAATTTAGATTGCACATAGTAGATTTATATTTTGTATGATACAGAGAATAAGTATGTCCTTTGAAAATTGATCACTCAAGCTAGATATTACATTTTCCAATTTGACTCTTTAGTAAGTTTAGAAAACAGCTCTTTTTGTAAGTTTATAAAACTAACAGGTCAAAATTATACGGTTTCAGAAGGTTAAACATTCTAAACAGCTTAAATACTATTTCCAAATAAAACCAGGAATAAGGATGACTATGGAGGAAAACAGAAACAGTAGGACTATAAAACAAGGAAAGAGAATTCTGGAAAAAAGAACACAAAAAAACTAGAAAAGAAACAACAGTATAAAAGATTGTGAATATGTATATTACCTAGGTTTTTCTAAACTCAAACTGAGTACATATCAAACTTTTTCTAGTGAGCACATTTTACTTCTTTAATGTTTCCAATTAACTTCAGGAATCTTAATATTAAGCACACAAAGAGTGTACTGATGTTACTACTCTTGGTGGATTACTTGGTAAAATCAAATGAAAGATAAAATGATTATCCAATTGTTCAACTTCTTAATTTTTTCCTCTGCTTTCAAAGTATACATACATTGGGTTAAAAACTTCTTAGTCACTAACTAAAGAAATGCTATAAAACTGTATTTGAAAATAGCATGAAGAAAACTAGAAAGAGCCTAACCGAGCCTATATTTAATTACTATTAGTGATAATCATGAGCATTATGTGAAAAATTCTACCATTTACATAAATGACCAGACTGTCTGCCAATAACTAAATAAAATATCACAGTCTTCCAAAAAAGTATACGAAATATTTTTAATGTGCTAGTGGCAAACTCCTCAGCCTATATAGAAAATGTTATCATATACTTAGAAGGCAACTATTACACCTTTTATATTCACATTAATACTGCATATAATAGTTCCACATATACTTGTTATAATATGTATTATAATAATTCATAAGAAACACTTACTGGGTAAATTTTTTGGATGGATGGAAGGATGGGTTCAGGTAGGGCTATAAAAAAAAAAAGTTTAAAGCTTCCGTGATTCACGTTATTCATTTTACAAAGCAATAATTTGTCAGCTACACCCCAGGCATAAGGGTTTCTGCTTAAATTCAACAGTTTCCATATATTTTGTGAATTAATTCTGATCCCTAAAAATTTAAATTCCAAATATATCTAAGTTGATAACTTAAGGTTTGTTAATAAACTATGTATATTTCTACGTAAACCAATGTTCCTTACATGGTTTTAGAAAAATAGGCCATCAATGGACACACATCATTTGGTCCAACATCAGACACACACATAAAATAAGCAAGACAAGGATTGTTCTACAGATATTGAATGAACATTGTTAAGATGAATGTAGCTAACAAAAAGAAAATTTTTAAATACAGTCCAATGATACTGTATCATGAAAGAACAACAGCTGTATCATAATTGTCCCTTTATTTTTAATTTATTCAAATAATAATACCAAAATTTAGATAGTTTCAGGAAATAGATCTATTGGGGAGAAAAACTGAAAAAAAAATCTTCAACTTCACAAATTTTTAAAAAGAAGGCCTCAGCAAAGTTCAGAAATATAAATCAGGATATTTATACCAATTTGCTATAAAAAATAAAAATTTCACATAAGGGAATTATTATCTTCATATGTTACTTTCTTTTTAATTGTCATTCTTCATTCTCCAATAGCTTTACCGAAATCCAACCTCATTAAATGCATTAACAGTAATTTCACGTCATTATAGTATAAAGGGAATAACATGAAAGGCAAAGTGCTTAATATTCACAATTTAAAAAACTGTAAAATACAATGTGTTGAGTATGGTAAGATACAAGTAGTATGTTTTCAAGATTTCTTTAAGATTAAAGACCAAATATAATACTATATTATAAACTATGTTTTTAAGAATTAGAAAGACATTGTATATAATTAAGTAAATTCAGTAACCATTGTTACCTTTAATTTGCAATTTAGCACAAACCTTTTTAAATGACTTCTGGAATATATTAATATACATATAATCAACCATTATCACCAAGTTACATAATCTCCAACTATGATTATAAACATATAAATTCCTATTTCATAGTATTTAAATTTCTCTTCTGTATCATGCTTCATTCTCAAGTTGAAATTGGAATAAAATAAAATTCCATGATACCCTGGAATGTTCACAGCGTGTGACTGACGGGGAAAACTTATTACTTACCGGAATCAACCACTCTTAGGAAGTAAAAATATTTTTTCCTAGAGGCATTCAAATGCTCAAAATTCTAGAAGATCCTACAAATAAACTCAAGCCCCAGTTACTTTAATTCTAAAAGTCTTTAAACATTTTTAATGACTTCCTAATAATTTTTGCTATAATACAGAAGTCAAACTAGAAAATCTTACTAGAAATTAGTTTACTTAATTAAAAACCTGAATTCCTTTCTCACTGAATACTCCTAGTAAAATTATAATTTAAAAAATAATAAAGAAAAGGTTATAGAGAATTAGAAAAAAATTTTATCTCATTCTGGAATCATAACCAGAATGCTAGAAGAGAAAAACAAATACTAACCACTGGGTTAGGGTCTTTCAATAGACAAAACACCTTTAGAACTAAGCAATTTGAGGGACCCCTGGGTGGCTCAATCAGTTAAGCACCGACTCTTGGATTTCAGCTCAGGTCATGATCTCAAGGTCATGGGATCAAGCACCACATGGGGCTCCACACCGAGTGTGAAGCCTGCTTTAGATTCTTTCTCCCAATCCCTCTGCCCCTCCCCCACTCACTCTCTCAGATGCACCCTCTCTCTGTCTCTAAATAAATAATATAAAAAATAAGTAAACAGAACTAAAAGCAATTTGGAGATTTGGGGGGGGGGGCAGGGATACCATTCAGTAAATCCCTTGCCAGACAACCTTATAGATTTCAAAACACAAGTCACTTGTGGAAAGAAATAAAAGAAACCTCACTTATAGCGGTGTGAGGAAACCCTGAAAGGGAATACAGTGTACCTTGCATTCCCTAAATAGGAATAAGTTTACTTCACACACCCCAGCAGGATGAAGAAATAATTTTCCTTGCCCAGCAACAGCCCAGCCAATGAGAATTCAGCGAAAACAGCCCCCTCCAGCTTCGTCCCCTTCCTCTAAAGGCAAGTCCCTGGCCTCCATTCTCTGGACTTGCCAATGGTTGGGTCACCAGTTTGCTTGTACTGAACTGCAATTCCTCTGCTAATCTTGAATAAACTCATTGTGCCAGTAAAAAAAAAAAAAAAAACTGGTTCTTTTATTTTTCAAGGCCAACACATTAAGAGCAACTGGTGTATTGTGGCAGTTATTTATTAACACTATCCTCATAGTAACCTCAAAGACTTCAGTAGTTTTTCAAATGTTTATTTTACTCAAAGCAACACACATTCAGGAAGAATCTGGCTGTAACATCTATTTTTACTTCAAAATTCTGGACTTCAATCTTCTAAATTTCTCTCTCAAAAGCAAAATAAAACAAAACTTGGTATTGCAGTATCTGGTCAATTGATAACGCTTTCAGAATAACTACTCTGTCAAGATTTTATTTTGCTTACATTCCAGATGAGAGCTTTATGGTCAAGCTCCCGCAAAGTTATACATATAAACATTCCATTCTGATTCATCAAAAATTCAACGAAAAAATAAAGTGCAAATCTTCAACAACTAAGCAACAATTTTGAAAATTCACGAATAATTTTTAAATGCATGAGATAGTTCCGTACCTGGTAACATGGTAAATATTCTATGAATATTCATTCGTATCATTATTTCTTACCAGTTGATACTTTTCCCTTTATATTAATTATTAATCTTAGATTGCCATTAAAAACTCTTCTCATTGGGTTTTTACCCCTCATACTTTCATCAGTCACCTTTCAAGCATATGTAGTCTATTAGACTGTTGAAATTCATCCTAGGAAATGCTTTAATTTTTTTCAACCTTTCTACATACAGAAGACTGCTCCCTTTCTCTATTCATGGCAAAAAAGATATTAAAAGCATTTATGAAGTTAAACGAAACTTAAAGGTCCACCCAATCCAACTATTCCTGTTACAGATAAGAATATTAGGACCAGAAAGGTAGAATAATTTGGCCAAAATCACAAACACTACTTCACTATGGCAGACTGGAACTACTCAGTACATCTTGCAAAATCCTGTATGATAAAAAAAAATGCAGCTAATTTCAGTCTAATTTCTTCTAGTGAGGGGCAGCTTAAATTTGCCAAATAATTCAGTTATACTTCAGCTCTGCATAGGTGAGGTCCTTTAACAAAGACCCATAAACAGTTGATGAGAGTGCTATTAATTATAAACCATCTCAGTAAATGGGACTACTTTGTCAAAAATAAAATGTATTTAATAAAATCTAAGCAAAATTTTAGCATGATTTCTTAACACTGGTAAAATACCAACATCAGAACTTTCAACTTGCTTGCCAAACCACCTTGGGGAATCTGTGATTAAAGCATTTTTCTTTTTTCCCCCATGATTTATTTATTTGAGAGAAAGAGAGAGAGAGAGAGAGAGAGAAGGGGAAGAGGGAGAAAATCTCAAGCAGACTCCCTGCCAAGCATAGAGCCTGACTCAGGGTTCAATCCCACGACCCTGAGATCATGACCTGAGCTGAAATCAAGAGTCCAACGCCTAACAGACTGGGCCACCCAGGCATCCCTAATGTACATTTTTCTAAAGAGGGCAATCAAATTAAAATTTCTTATGTAACCCATAAAAATGGAAGGAAAGGAGACATATTATGGATGTTCAGACATGTTAAATGCTGTAGTCAAATCTAATTTTTAAATCCCAATTAGTGTCTATTCATTTTTTAGTTTCAGTTGCGACTTAAAAAGTACATCTGACTAAACCTAAATAACTCTGATAAATTTTTGGTACATAACTTTTCAATGTTTATATACATATGAATATATATACAAACTCTAATACAGATGCTATTTTTAAAATAAAATTGGCATCACGTTGTATATGAGAGTGTATCATGGGTATTTTCTTATATCATTAAATATCCTAAAAGCATCATTTTTAGTGGCTAACATTATAATTAATTCAATCATACCCCATTCTTAAAAACTTAAGATTATTTCTAACCTTCTGTTATTTCAATAAACACCATGAAAATCAGCCTTATATATAAATCCGTACCTGCATCCCTGATATTACCTTGGGATAAATTTCTAGAAATGCAATTGCTGAATAACACTGAGTCAAAGGGTATGAACATAAATATCACAACATTGCTTTCTAAACTATAGAAATATCATTAACCCAGAACAAATCAGACCCTAGACATCCTGATAAAGGTTCTTCTATTACATTAACATCAAGTCTTTCACCCACATCTCCATGCCAGCTCACAAGGAATAAAACTTCTTTGACCAAAAAGAAAATCCTGTCTCGAGTGAAAAATAAAAAAACACAATGAATGGTGCTTGAGCTTATTTTTATAGACCTTCTGAACATGCATGTGCCTCAACATAATGGGTCAACAATACAGAGGTAAAAAGTTCTTTGAATACAAAAGTTAATACTGAAAAACTGTCAAAAAACACAGTGAAACTTCCCTTATAATGTTTTCCAGGGAATAACATTTGTTCTTTTTGGGGGGGAGGGTGGATGCAGTGGGCAGAAGGAGAGCGAGAACCTTAAGCTTGAGCCATAAGTACTTTCCAAAAAGTGCTTCAGCTTGACGTTAGGCTTGATCTCACAACCCTGAGATCACGACCTGAGCCGAAATCAAGAGTCAGACGCTTAACTGACTGAGCCACCCAGGCACCCCCAGGGAATAATATTTCTAAAACATTGTTCAAAGCAACGAATTAGGAAACATGGTTTTCTAGGCCTTAGAAAGAACTTTTTAAAACAATGCTATTTGAAGACAGAGGCAACAGAGAAGACATCATAATGAAGTTTAACTGTGTTTTCATTTTAAAAATTGGGGAAAACCCAAAATACTTACTTTGTAAATAGTGCAAAACCATCAATACAAGACTATAGCTGCTTAAAGTACCACGACTGGCATCATTTATCTCATGGTGACTCGCCCACTTCTTAATCACCAGTACTAACGGACGAACTCGATTTTCAACTGAAAGTGAAATTAAAACTTAAAAATGGTAAGGAAATATTATGGTGTCTTTGAAAGCTTATAACATTTCCCAACTACAACAAAAAGAGCACTGCCTCCCTATTTATTAAACATTGTGTTCACCATAAATGTGTCTTGCTTTAAAAAGGTATCTTAGTCACCTTTTAAAAATTATTAATTACTAAAATTTGTTTTATTGACCTGTAACTCCAGTAGTATATAATTTTAGTGTAACAAAATATTATACATGTAATAAAAGACACTATATATAAACATATTTAAACAGATGTCAGTATTTATTACATCTTTAAAAAGGAATAAAGAATGAAGGATAGAGAAGGCTGATTATTATTTGGAAACAAAAAACTTACGGTATGCATAAGTTCTGAGAAGGAATGTGTTTCTTATTCCAACAATATTGTTTACATTCAAGTCGAATTCCACACAACTATGAAAAAGAGAGAAATACACTTTAGCTCAAGTGTTCTGAAACATTAGCTCAAGTGTTTTGAAACAAACTCCCTAGTAACTAAATTAATATTCATCTACCCTATGATGCAAAAATAGCATGAGCCCAAAGGCCAAATACTTTAAAATAAGGCACTAAAGAAATAAGAATACATACTCAGTACATATGATTTAGTGTATATTAAAAATATAAAACAGGATTACAGTTGCGAGATCCACAATGTACTACATTAAGTCTCCAATTATCCCTAATAAAACAAATTTTAAAATTTTGCAGTCCTGTCCAGATAAACAAAATTATGTGACCAAAAACATTTCTGGCCAAGTTATCCCACTGAGTTATATAGTCTCAATTAATTTGGAATTAAAGTGTCATTTGCTTTAAAACAACAGAAATAGGGGCGCCTGGGTGGCTCAGTCGTTAAGCATCTGCCTTCAGCTCAGGTTGTGATCCCAAAGTCCTGGGATTGAGCCCTGCATCGGGCTCCCTGCTCAGCAGGAAGCCTGCTTCTCCCTCCCTCACTCCCCCTGCTTGTGTTCCCTCTCTCGCTGTTTCTGTCAAATAAATTTTAAAAATCTTTTAAAAAATAAATTAATTAATTAAATTAAAAAATAAAACAACAGAAATAAAATGCCAAATAAAGTACAGGTGAAAAAAATAGAAGAAGTCTATACATTATATTCCCCCCAAAAAGGATAAGACATAAATAAGATATAAATTATAATATCATACCAAATTTAGCTACTGATACCTGGGAAGAACAGTCAAACACATAACAGAAGGGTTACTTCTTTGAAAACAAAGATATCATGCAATTCACAATTTAGAAAATAGGGCAATAATGATAGGATCTACAAAGAAAGGCTAAATCCAAAATAAAAGGAAAGATTAATGAAAATTACATTATGAGGCCCAACTTCCTCTGCACACGGAGTTTTCTATGAAAAGACTGCCTAAAATAAAAACTTAACAAAAGTCCTTTCTATGAACTTTTAATTATAAAAATTGAAATTTACCAATTCAGATTTTCTTGTTTTGGGAAATGAAATACTATAATCTTTCAATCAACCATGCATATTATTAAAAACAGATAGTAGTATTAACATGTCAGATATCATATATATATTTGCCTTTGGGAATTTATAGAAACAATGGAGATACATTCTTCAATTGCATCTGTGAAAGGCTAACACTGAAACCAGTATAACTCGATAAAGAGGAAAAAACAGACGGAAACCAGTTTGCAATTAAAAACTTTTCCAAAAATATGACTTCAGAGCTTTAAAAATATCCACAGTACTTGCTTCAAATTCTACTTCTGGAAATACTAAAGTAATCTTATATATAGGAAAAAAGTTTATGTACAAAATGCTTATTCTAACAGGGGAATAAGTAAGTTAATCACAATATATTCACTCATGATATATTACTGTAAAGCCATTAAAAATGAAGCCAGAAAATAATCAATGATATAAGCAAATATTCATGATGTATGATTAAATAAAAAAGTAAAATCTCAATTTTAATTTTAAAAACTTATGCATTCATATGCATAGAAGAGGGACTGAAAGTTTTACACCAAAATGTTCACATCACTTAACTTTGGGTGTTAGAAGTAGACTTTCTTTTTTTTAAAGTCTGTATAGAAAATATAAAATGGTGTTTATAAAACACTTAACGATGAAAAAAGTTTGTATAATAATCTTAAACAGAAAAAGAAATGCACCCAACTAAGGAGCACCCAAATACTTAAAGCAGTTAAAAACAAACATAAAGGAAATAATTGACAGTAATACAGTAATAGTGGGGGACTTTAAAACCCCACTTACATCAATGGACAGATTATCCAAACAGAAAATAAACAAGGAAACAGTGACTCTGAATGACACATTGGACCAGATGGATTTACCAGATACATTCAGAACATTCCATCTTAAAACAGCAGAATACACATTCTTTTCAAGTGTACACGGAACAGTCTCCAGAACAGATCACATATTAGGCAACAAAACAAGTCTCAACGAATTAAAAAAGATCGAAGTCATTCCATGCATCTTTTCTGACCACAACGCTATGAAACTAGAAGTCAACCAAAAGAAAAAACACTGGAAAGAGCACAAATACATGAAGATTAAATAACATGCTACCAAACAATGAATGGGTCAACCAAAAAAATCAGAGGAAATCAAAAAATACATGGAGACAAATGAAAATGAAAACACAATGACCAAAAATCTTTGTAAAGCAGCAAAAGTGCTTCTAAGGGGGAAGTTTATAGCAATATAGGCCTACCTCAAGAAGTAATAAAAATCTCAAATAAATAACCTAAACTTACACCCAAACAAGCTAGAAAAAGAAGAACAAAAACCCAGAATCAGTAGAAGGAAGAAAATAATAAAGATTAGAGCAAAAATAAATGAAATAAAAACTCACACCAAAAAAAAAAACCAATAGAACAGATCAGTGAAACCAGGCCCTGGTTCCTTGAAAAGATCAACAAAACTGATAAACCTTCAGCCAGACTCGTCAAAAAAAGAGGGCTCAAACAAAATCACAAATGAAAAAGGAGAAATAACAACAGCACAGAAATACGAGGGATTATAAGAGAATATTATGAAAAATTATATGCCAACAAATTTGACAATTTAAAAGAAATGGATAAATTCCCCAGAAACATATAACCTCCCAAAACTGAATCAGGAAGAAATAGAAAATTTGAACAGACTGATTACCAGCAATGAAATTAAATTAGTTATCAAAAAACTCCAAACAAATAAAAGTCCAGGACTAGAAGTCTTCACAGGCGAATTCCACCAAACATTTGAAGAAGAGTTAATATGTATTCTTCTCAAGCTACTCCAAAAAAATAGAAGAAAAGGAAAACTTCCAAATTCATTCTATAAGTCCTGCCATTACCTTGATACCAAAACCAGATAAAAATACTACAGAAAAATAGAACTACAGGCCAATATCTCTGATGAATATAGATGTAAAAATCCTCAACAAAATATTACAAAGCCAAATCCAACAATACACTAAAAAAGTCATTTATGACAATCAAGTGGAATTTATTCCTGGAATGCAAGGGTGGTGCTCAATATCTGCAAATCAATAAATGTGACACATCACATCCATAAGGGAAAGACTAAAAACCATAGATGCAGCAAAAGCACATGACAAAGTACAACATCCATTATAATACAAACCCTCAACAAAGTAGGTAGGGTGGTGAGGACATACCTCACCATAATAAAGGCCATATATTGAAAAACCCACAGCTAACATCGTACTCAGCAGTGAAAAACTGAAAGCCTTCCCCCTAAGACCAAGACCAGGATGCCCACTCTCACCATTTTTATTCGACAGAGTATTAGAAGTCACAGCCACAGCAATCAGACATGAAAAAGGAATAAAAGGCAACCAAACTGATAAAGTAGTAAAACTTTCACTATTCGCAGATGACATACTATATACAGAAAACCCTAAAGACTCCATCAAAAACTACAATAACTGATAAATGAATTCAGTAAGGTTGCAGGATACAAAATCAATGTACAGAAATCCATTGCATGTCTATACATTAATAAGGAAGCAAGAGAAAGAGAAATTAAGATACAATCCCACTTACAATTGCACCAAAAAGAATAAAATACCTAGGAATAAACTTAACCAAGGAGGCAAAAGACTTACACTCTAAAAACTATAAAACACTGATGAAAGAAACTGAAGATAATACAAATAAATCGAAAGCTATTCCATGCCCATGGACTGAAAGAACAAATATTATTAAAATGTCCAGACTACCCAAAGCAATCTATCTAAAGATCTAATGAAATCCCTATCAAAATACCAACATTTTTCACACAACTAGAACAAATAATCCTAAAATTTGTATGAAACTACAAAAGACCCCAAATAGCCAAAACAGTCTTGAAAAGAAAAACAAAGCGAGAGGTACCACAATTCCAGATTTCAAGTTATACTGCAAAGCTGCAGATACCAGAACAGTCTGGTACTGCCAGAAAATAGACACACAGATCAATGGAACAGGACAGACAGCCCAAAAACAAACCCACAATTCTGTGGTCAATTAATCTTCAACAAAAGAGGCAAGAATATGCAATGAAACAAAGACAGTCTCTTCAATAAATGGTGTTGGGAAAACTGAACAGCTACATGCAAAAGAATGAAACTGGACCACCTTCTTACACAATACACACAAACTCAAAATGGATTAAAGATCTAAATGTGATACCTGAAACCACAAAAATCCTAGAAGAGAGCATAGGCAGTAATTTCTCCCACATCAGCCATAGCAACATTTTTCTATATGTGTCTCCTGAGACAAGATAAATAAAGGCAAAAATACACTACATCAAAATAAAAAGCTTCTGAGCAGTGAGGAAACAATCAACAAAACTAAAACAATCTACTAAATGGGGGAAGATATTTACAAATGACAAACTTATACAACTCAACACCCAAAAAACAAAATCCAATTTAAAAAAAATGGGCAGAAGATATGAACAGACATTTCTCCAAAGACATACAGATGGCCAACAGACATGTGAAAAGATGCTCAACATCACTCATCATCAGGGAAACGCAAATCAAAACCACAATGAGATATTACCTCACACTTGTCAGAATGGCTAAAATAAACAAAACACAAGAAACAGTAAGTGTTGGCAAGGAGATGGAGAAAAAAGAACCCTTGTGCCCTGTTGGCAGGAATGCAAACTGAAGCAGCCACTGTGGAAAACAGTATGGAAGTTTCTCAAAAAATTAAAAATAGGACTACCCCATAATCCAGTCATCACATTACTAGGTATTTACCCCAAGAATACAAAAACACTAATCTGAAAGATATATGCACCCTGATATTAACTGCAGCATTATTTACAATAGCCAAGTTTGGAAGCAACCCAAATTTCCATCAAAAGATGAATGGATATATATATTATCTCGCATCTATATGTATGTATGTGTACACACACACACACACACACACACACACACACACAGAGGAATATCACTTGGCCATAAAAAAAATCTTACCATTTGCAACAACATGGATGGAGCTACAAGATATTCATAATACTACTAAGTGAACTAAGTCTCTCAGAAAAAGACAAAGACAAATACCATATAATTTCACTCATGTGGAATAAAAAAACAAACAAATGAGCAAAGGAAAAACAAATGAGAGAGACAAACCAGGACACAGATTCTTGTCTGTAGAGAACAGATGGTTACCAGAGGCGAGGGGGATAGGGGGAATGGGTGAAATACGTGATGGGATTAAAGAGTACACTTATTATGATGAACACTGAGTAATGCACAGAATTGTTGAATCACTATATTGTACACTTAAAACTAATTAACTATACGTTAACAATACTGGAATTAAAATTTAAAACTTAAAAAAAAAAGAGAGAAGGCCTGGTTTGTTCAGTAGGCTAAGCATCTGACTCTCCATCTCAGCTCATCTTAGGGTTCTGAGTTCAAGCCCCACACTGGGCTTCACATTGGGTGTGGAGCCTACTTAAAAAAAAATTTTTTTAATTAAAAAATTTAAAAAACTACAAAAAAAATAAAGGAATAAAATTTTTACATAATGACAACTACAACCATATATTTTTTAAAATGATTATAATAAGCTAATAATTTTATTTATGTTTAGTTTATCTCCCTATAAAGTATTTGGTAAAAATTCAATAAATATTTATAGATTGGATGGATACTTGGATGAATGGAGAGGAAGGTGTGAGCCAGGTATATATCCAAGGATTTGTTTAAAATATATATATTCAGTCAATTCTAATTATTTGCAGTAGTTATGTTCTATAACATCACTGTAAATACTGAGTTAGTGAATACAAAACCAGAGCTGCTAGGAAAAACAAAGGATTAGGTTTCCACAAGCCTTCAGTCAAAACATTTTCATCAATCGATCAAAACCTAACTTTTTTATGTGTTTCCATTTAAAGACAACTTGTTCACTGACAATGAACTCACGGCCAAGTGCACTATAACTCATGTCTGAACAAAGCATATCTAATACATGTATTTCCTCCATAGGGCACATCAGAGCTTTATACAAAGAAACAATAGACAGTAACTCAGCACTATGCCAGGGGGCCATTTTAAATAGCAAAGGCACTCATAAAAACACCAAAATGTAAAAAACATGGCACTAACTGGACAATGAAAAGAATAATCGCTTACAGTATAAGAGGTGAAACAAGAAGGCAGACTGTTATTGTTTAACTTCAGTTAGGAACCTGTACATGTAGTGACTCAGAATTTTGTCCACTCTGCACATGTCTACAAATAACCATGAAAATGCAGCTAATATTAATTTGGAGGGTTACAAAATAAATTTCATCAAGTAGGCAAATTCGTAAAGAATCCATGAATAATGAGGATCAAGTATGTATATATTTGCACTTATATTTATATAAACAATTTCAGTATTACTTTTATAAAACTGGACTAGAAAATCTAATTTATCACAATCCTATCTATTCTTTAGAAAACAACAAATCTTGTTTATCCAACGAAATAGTCAACACCTAATTTACATTTCATATTCAGATATTATATAAAAGATTCCAATCCCCATGCCCATAACAATTTCAGAACCCAGGCTGGTAGAGTGTACCAACAGATGTAATTACATTTATAACAACCCCCTTGATATAAATACACATCAAATTTCGAAATACACATAAATTTCATCAATGTTCTGAAGAGTGATTACATTTCCAAAAGGCAAGAGATCATTTAAAAATGTGAAATGTAAATATATATACATATTTTTTAATATGGATAGTTTCAAACACTTGAAATGTCAAGCAGAATAAATAAGTACAGTTAAGCATAAAAAACTGCTCAGCCTATTCCAAAAAATCATCTCAAAGACCAAATCAAGCAGTTCTAAAAACTGATGAGGATAAGCAATTACACTGTAGTATACATTCCTTAATTACCTACATCAAAAGTACATCTAAAAATGATCTAAAGCAACTGAAAAAGGAAGATTCAATAATTACTTACCTGACTTTATCCCTGAACTTCACAATTGGCACTTTTGCTCGAATCAGCTGAGGTCTCTCAATGTAGCCAGCTGAAGGATAAAAGATAATGTAAATACCTGTAAATATTTCTCAAATTCATAGTGTTCCAATACACATTTTTAAAAAATAGTATTTTACTAAACTAAAACAATTTAAGAAAACAGTCTTGGATAAGAAAGCAAAGGAAGGACATTATTACATTCTTCTAACACTGAAACTTCCAATACCATTTAGAGGAATTTATATTAAAATTCAGAAATGTCGTCTAATATCTAGTAATATTCATAAAGAAATTCATCACAGCATTATACACATGAAAAATATCTAGGCTGGCAGCAAGGGGATAGCTAAATTCTAGTATAGCACAAGGCAAAATATTATGGCAGCCATAAAAATCCTATTTATAAAGAGTCTTTAATGTGGAAAGGCCTACACATGATACATGGGGCAGTGATACATTTAAATAAGTATGATCTCTAAGTAGAAGGATACTGTACTCATATTTTTATTCCATCAGACTTTAAAAACTGTTTTTGAAAATAATACATGTCCATTATAGAAAACTAGGAAAATACAGGAATATATAAAAAAAGGAAACTGCAAACTTCTCCCAAAGGAAAAATTTCCTAATGCTGTAACTAAAGAAAAGCATAATACCAGACTTAAAAATGATAATTTTTCCTGTTATAATGCTTTTACCACCAAAATCATAAAATACGTCAGGCTTCAAATAGAATCTGTGTGCAGGAATTCAATGAGGTTCAATGAAAAATAAGATTAAGAGTTAAAAGTCTCAAGTTCCAGGTACAGGTTCTGAGAGCAATAAACAAACTATACTCCTCAGGCTAATTACTAAACCCACTGATCATCATTCTCCTTAACTATGAAAAATAACCAAAAACACTTTTGAATTAGATGATTTCTAACGTCCCTTCGTTTTTAATATTTGATTATTCTAATAACAGCTATGGAAAATCCATTTAAGGTATGAATTACTCCTTTACTTCACAAATGTGAAAACTTAAGTCCACTAAAATAAATCACTTCATTTATTTCTCTCCAACAATAGATATAACTCATCCAGGGCAATAACTTGTCACTTGACTTTGTATTTTCCAGGTCAAAGCCTGACACATAGGAGTGTCTGTCCATATATGGACCCAGCTCTTTCCAACATCACACAGAGGGACTTAAACTGTCCACAGTATTGTGGAAACTTAAAATAATTTGAGATGGCTTAACATGTGGATTAAAATCCAGTTAGCTCACTTATTCAAGAATAAAATCTTACAATAAAATGGCCTAAGTCAATAATTTTGCTTTTTGTTGGAGTAATTCATTTATGGGCTTCATGTTCAGTGATTCTATTTTTAAAATGTGATGTCATAAACTGCACGTCATTGCAAAACAGATGAAATTCTCACTTCCCCACATGAATACTATCTGTACCACCCTTTTGGCTTTTCACAGATACTTTGCACTACAGCTATTCATATTCATGCTTTGGCTTCCCTAACAGTCTACTGAGAAAAAGAACTGAAGCTTATATATATTTGAATTCCCAGTGCATGCAGTGGGATTATTGTCTAAGTAAACTCAAAGAATTGTTATCTTTCTAATCAAGAGTTAAAAAGAATTCATTTGGAAAAAAGGATCCATATTATACCTATCCTAACCAGATAAACAACTCTTACCAGAAAATAAAGTGAGAGACATATTAAATAGTTACGTCAGATGACAGATGAACTTGAGGCATATGAAACTTACAAAGTCTAGTACAGAAGTGTTTATGGACTAAGGTGAGTATATGCCGTGCTTCAGTCTTCTGATTTACCTGAAAAAAACACTGAAAAGTTAAAAATAAAGTGTTTTTTCATTACCTTTCTAAATTTAGTGTTTTATTTTCTTAATGTTTCTCATCAAAGAGAAACCATACAAAGTAAACTTTTCTTTGGAGTTATTTTTCAGTATACATTAAATTACATTATAGAAAACATCTTTCACATCAACATTCCTAAATCAATTCCTAATTATAAACTTAAGGCAAAATTTAAAAAATATTAAAACAGTCTTATACGTCATTTAAATTTAGTATAAATGTACGTAAAGCAATCTTCTCCCGGAAAAACAAACAGAGGGCGCCTGGGTGGCTCGGCCAGTTAAGCATCTGCCTTCAGCTCAGGTCATGATGCCAGGGACTGAGTCCTGCACCAGGCTCCCCGTTCAGCGGAGAGTTTGCTTCTCCTTCTTCTTCTCCCTCTACACCTCTACCTCTCCCCCCTGCTCCGGTCCCCCCTGCTCCTGCTGTCTCTCTCTCTCTCTCTCTCTCTCTCTCTCTCTCTCATAAAATCTTCAAATAAAAAAAAAAAAGAACAGAATTTTAACTTTCTGTAACAGACTGTAAGCTTCTTAAGGATAAGGTTCAAATCTATGGTGTCTCACTGTAAGTTCTGACATGATTCAAACATATGAACAAGAGAGGATTAGTAGGATGTGGCTGGGTAGAGTTTAACTCTAATTCTGAGAGAAAGATTTAATTAAAAGTCTAGTATTCTTCACCATGTTTATTATTTCTGAGGTTTTTTTTCAAAGTTTTTCCTTTACATGATTTCAAAGCCTAGAAACATGTCAGTTTCTTTCCTGGAATAAATCTCTTTCTGATTTGCAGTAACTAGAAGCGAATTTTGTTAATGAAATAATAAAAATATATATTATGATTCAGTAGATATTTTTTGTATTTTTAAAGAGGTGGAATGTAATAAAGCATATTAAAACTATAGTGAAATTAATCTTCGGTAATTCAGAAGAGACCTCAGCATATTAAAGAGATTGCTTCAAGTTAGCTTAAAGAACACCAATTGCTGTGGTATTAAGGACACACAAGAGTATCAGTTAACAGGAAATTCAAACAAACATAAAACTAAATAACAAAATTTGGTTGCTAAATAAAAAGAAACCCAAAATATCACAGAAAAATATATTCAATCACTATAGTCCTTTTTAAAAAGTCAGTGAAATCCGTTTTTGTATTCCCAAAGTAAGAACTCCAAACCCCATAGCAGTTCTAAAGGGGAAAAAAAAGATTAAAAATAGAATCACTGATAATTCAAACGGAAAGGAAATACATCAAAATAATACTGACACATACTCTTCTTGTTGCATCCTGGCAACATATCCAATCCAATGACATTTCAAAATAGAGGCAGAGCAAACACAGTGAAGCCATCTTACTTTAACAACTTAAAAATAAATGCTAAAAATCCCTGTTATGTGTATTTGTGCATGTGCACATGCCTTAAAAGAAAAAGCATTTCCTGACTTTCCTTGAATTACTATGAAGAGAGAATCCAAAGAACTAATTAAAACAAAACAAATTTTCTCCTTCAACGGTTTTTTTTTTTTAAGTAGGCTCCACACCCAGCATGGAGCCCAAAGTGGGGCTCAAACTCACGACCCTAAGATCAAGAGCTGAGATCAAGAGTCAGATGCTTAACCAGCTGAGCTACCCAAGGCACCCCTCTTCAACAATTTTTATATGAAATTTCTTAAATGACTTAACATGAGAAGAACACTTGCAATAAATATTTCATTACTTACTGGTTCTTCTTTAACAACTAGGCATAAATCACCATCACTGCTCCGGGTACCAAATCCATTTAAAGAGGACCCAACCAAAAAAAGTCTGCTTTCTAGAGAAACAGAATGAAATTATAAGGTATTATTTAATATTTAAAGTAGGAATGTATATACAAAGGGCATGCAAAATGGGGAAACATACGTGGAAATAACAGCTGAATTTCTCTCTGCAGCTGTGTTCGACACAGTTCTTTCTTCTTTAAATCACTTACTTGCTGCTGACATGCTTCAAATAACTCCAGTATCTGCTGACTCAACTTGAATCCACCGCAAAAAAAGTAAAAATTTTGTTCAGAAATGTAAAAGTAATTACCATACTAAGAAGTGTTGTTTTACACAGTATTTTAAATACAACAGTATTTTAAAAATGAATATTTATTCTCCTTAACATTTTCCAAAACTACTGTTACTCAATAGTTACTTAATAACTAAAATAGTTATTAACTTTCCCAAAGTATAGTGTCATTGATAAGTCACAGAAAAGTACAGTTGGTCACAGAAAATTCTTAATGAGTATAAACCATGGGACAGCAAACTACAATTTTCACTTGCTGCCTGTTTCTGGAAGGCACATGAGCTAAGAATGGTTTTTACATTTTTAAAGGGTTATAAAAACAAACAAGTAAGGATATGCAACAGAAACATATGAGTGGCAAAGTCTAAAATATTTACTATCTGTCCCTTTAAAAAAGAAGTTTGCCCAACCCAATATTCATACCACCAATAACAAATATTAACAAACTTTAAAAAAAACAAACCCTGGTCGTCTTTACTGATGCAAACCGCCCTCCTTCCCCATTTTTACAATACTGGCTTGAACCCTGTCTTCTTGCTGCCATCTATAGATAGATCTCCTTGTTCATCTACCTATCTGGCTTACACTTTCCCCTCCAACCCAACTCTTACCATCATCACAGGTAATTTCTTCATCTACAACAGGCTACATACATATCACAACATACTCCCACCATTTCCAAACTTCTCTTACTTCAATATTTTTCATCAACATTACACTCCCACAGCCATAACATGGTCTTTACAATAAAAGAGAAGAGACCTCTGAAATTTTAAATTCCAATATACTATCTTGGCTTCAATCTCCTGTCCAGTTCTTACTCCCCTCATACGTGTTCCAGAACCACACAGACCTGAATTCCACTGAATCCTCCCTTTCTTCCCAGCTCATTAGCACCTGAGTGGTATAATTTCTTTCCCTATCCAGTCTATACCACAAAGTGCATCCCTTGAACCACTCTCTTTTATCATGCCTTAACATTATCCCCTTGTCTTTATCATGCCTTAACATTATCGCCTTGTCTTGATCAACCTAACACTGGTCCTGAAAAATCTCACTATACAAACAACCACCTTCTAAGTTCTTACATCAGAACATGAAACTGAAAAAAAAAATTTTAAATCACAAAACTGGCATCTTTCAACTTTATAAAGTCTAGCCTAAGGTTGGTCCTTAGCATCATTCAGGCTTCCAAGCCTCTGGTTAGATTTTGCTCTCACTTTTCACCATCATTGTTCTAAAACCTCTACTACTTTCCTCAAGTCCCCTATACTTACCTCATTCTCTGCAGCAAATAACTTTACATAAAGTTTACTAAGAAAATTGAAAATAGCAGACTCCTCAGCTTCCTAACTGCAAAGTTCTGCAAACTAACATACCTGAATGAATTCCATCTCTTTATCTCTTCTGTCAAACAAACTGTTCTCCTCCCCTGTTCAAAGTTAATCCCTCTACCAATACTTGTGTTCCAGGGCACAAATACTTCCATGAGTTTTTCCATATCCCTCTTGCATTTTCAACCTCTCCCTCTCTAGGCCTTCCTCAGGGCCCATGTGCCATGAGGCACTAGTCTCACCCATCATTTAAAATGTTTTCTTAAAACAGGCAAATAAACAAAACAAAAACAGAAACAGACTCATACATACAGAGAACAAACTGGTGGCTGTCAAAAGGAGGGCATGGAGGAATAGGCAAAATAGGTAAAGGGGATTAAGAGATACAAACTTTGTTACAAAATAACTATGTTACAGGGTTGAAAGATAGGGCATAGGAAACATAGTCAATAATACTGTAATAACTTTATACTGCTGTGACAGAATAATTACATTTAATGTGGTGAGCATTTCCTAACACATATAATTGTCAAATCACTGTTGTACACCTAAAACTAATATATTATTATGTCAACTGTACTTCATTAAAAATTTTTTAATTAAAAAAAGAAAAAGAATTTTTAAATAGATGGACAAAAAAATAAAACATTTTCTTTTGTCATGTTTAGAATACACATTTTAAGAAGGCAGAGGCAGTCTGGGCAATTAGACAATGAAAGAGATATCATTTTTTAATATCCCTCTGATAACAATATTAATATACTTAACATTAGTATTTTAATAGTTTTTAATAACCCTCCCTCCAAAAAAACATAAGAGCAACCAGAATAAAACATATAAAACCAAACCAAAATAAAATAAAACAGGGCTAACAAATACAAAACAAATGACCACATATCACTCATGAACCCCAAAATATGAGCAATCGGGACCAAACACCAATAGCAGCAAGACCCACGTGGTACCAGAAACGTTAAGAAGAAAAAAAGGAAAAAGATTTTGGACAGTCCTGAAGCCAGACCATCCAGAAATCAAATTGCCTATAGGTAGTACTTCCTTCCCCCTTCCTCAAATTGTGGAATCCAATTCAGAGTAGAACAGCAACCAAAACTGGGGGAAAGTTTCACAGGCTACATGCAAGAGTTTACAGGTAAATGCAGAGGATCACAGAAAGATCAGAAATCTCAAAACAAAGTGAAAGCTCCCTTCTAAGACAAAGCAACACACAAGCAGAAACTGCCAGGAGGAGAAATCTAAACTAAACAGTAGAGAGCCAAAAGGGGCAAAGAAAACATGGTCTAGAACTAAAATGATTCTGACTCCCAGGGGACACCTGACAATGTCTGGCAACATTTTTAGTTATCATAACTGGGGGCAAGAGGGGTGCCATAGGGTGGTCATTGGCATCCAGTAGTTAGAGGCCAGGATGCCACTAAATATTCTACAATGAATTGGATGATCCCTCACAGTAAAGATTATCTGACCCAAAATGCTGAAAAATCCAAGTCTAGCTATAAGGAAAGAAAAAGTGTCAGAGAGTATATTTCTGAATACTACATAACTACAAAAGAGGATTCCTAAAGCCATAAATCTCAGAAAGCTAGTCTGCCCAACCATTCTAATTTAAAAGTAGTATAGGAAAAGGCATCTCACTTGTATTTGTATTTGTTAAATGCAAATTTTGGAATCTCAGGGAGGTGAGAATGAGAGGACAGAAAAAACATTTGAAGAAATAATGCCTAAAAAGGACTCTGGTCAATTTTCATACAAAGTTTTTTGGTTTTTTGTCTTGTTTTGTTTTTTAAAGATTTTATTTATTCATTTGAGACAGAGAGAGAGAGAGCATGAGCAGGGGGAGGGGCAGAGGAAGGAGAAGCAGACTCCCTGCTGAGCCGGGAGCCCAACGTGAGGCTTGATCCCAGGACTCTCAGATCATGACCTGAGCCCAAGGCAGATGCCCAACCTCTGAGCCACTCAGGTGCCCTTCATACAAAGTTTTTATAAGAAAACTGAGAATAGAGTAACACTCCTACAGATAATAAAGCACACCAGAAAGACATGTCCACAAAACTATTGGAAATTTTAACATAATATATCAGGCCAAGGCTTTTTCTCTTATGTTTTAATTTTCCAAAAAGATAAGTGACTATAAAGTATCTATACTAGTACTAACAAAAAAGAATTGGAAATCTACATTTTAAAAACTTATCAAAGGCAGCAAAAAACAGTATTTAGAAGTATGTTTACAAAAAGATATATAAAACTTGTACACTTAAAATTACTAAGTACGGATGTGAGAAATTAAAAACCTAAATAAATGGAGAGCTATACCATGTTCGTGGATCAGGTAACTACTGTTAAGATGTTAATGCTCCTGAAATTAATCTACACAGTCAGTGCAATCAAAACAAAATAAAATACCCAGCATGTTTGTTTCTAGAAGTTGAGAAAGTAACTTTAAATTTTATTTGAAAGGCAAAAGACCAAGAATAGCCAAAAAAAAAAAGGAAGAAAAAAGTTGGAGGAGGGGCGCCTGGGTGGTTCAGTTGCTTAAGCGGCTGCCTTCAGCTCAGGTCCTGGGATTGAGCCCCACATCGGGCTCCACGCTCAGCGGGAAGCCTGCTTCTCCCTCTCCCCTACTTGTGTTCCTTCTCTCCTGTCTCTCTCTCTGTCAAATAAATAAAATCTTTAAAAAAAAAAAAAAAGTTGGAGGATTTGCCTTATCAGACTTCAAGACTTACTTAACAGCTACAGTAAACAAGGAAGTATGGCATAGGCAAAAGGATTAAAAAGATAACAAAAAATACTGAAATATTTGTGAATATAATGATATGATACCTTTCATGTACTTCAAACAAATGAGGAAGAGAGGTATAGATGAAATAAAATTGGTAGTTATGTTGGTGGTTTTTAAAGCTCAGTAATAGGATTTATGATACTATATTCTATTTTTGTATATATTTGATATTTTCCATAAAAACCTTTTTAAGAGCATCCAAGTTTAGAGGCGCTGGGTAGCTCAGTCGTTAAGCGTTTGCCTTCAGCTCAGGTTATGATCCCAGAGTCCTGGGATCGAGCCCCGCATTGGGCTCCCCGCTCTGCGGGAAGCCTGCTTCCCCCTCTCTCACTCCCCTTGCTTGTGTTCCCTCTCTCGCTGTGTCTCTGTCAAATAAATAAATCAAATCTTTTAAAATAAAATAAAAGCATCCAAGTGTATAAAAGATTTGAAAGAAGTGGCCAGTAAAGTGGTTAATATAAAATTTTAAATAACACTTGAACAATTAAATTTTATTGATTTGCAGGACTGGCAAACTATGGCCTATAAGCCAAATACTGTCTCTGAACTGTTTTGCAGAGGCAGTAAGATAAAATAATTTTTACATGTTTTAAGCATTGTTTCAAAAAGAGAGAAAAGAAAAAAGAATATCTAACAGAGACCCCACACAGCCCACATGTCTAAAATATTTACTATTTGGCCCTTATAGAAAAAGTTTTGCCGACCTTATGATCTAGAGAATCAGTTAGGCAGATCAACACAATCCTAGAACTAATAGTAGGTTATCATCCTACATATAACTACATTTCTTAGGTAGCAAAAAGAAATTTCTTTATAACAATGCTCAAATGA